TGTCCAAGCGTGCCCAGCAAACACACACTGAAGTCCCCATGAATGACTGGAGCGCTTCCAGCTGACAGCCGCATCCCTGCTCACCGCCAATGGCAGTGCACCCAGCCTGGGAAGCACTGACATCATTTCTGGCCAATAGCAGCTCCGAAAAGGGATGCAGCAGCAGCCGCTGCTGCCGTCTTGGAGTGAGATAAGTAATATATAGATGGATGGAAATGTGTGTATACACACATCCCATCACTGCACTGGAGACCTGCTCCCCCAGGGCAGCCGTAGCAGTGCACTCCACCACCCCACTGCCCAACCTGGGGCACTTGTCCCACCTTAGAGCACCCAGATGTTCCCGGCCATCAACCCCAGCTGCACCCCACCCCTGCCAGCCAGACATAATTGCTCCAGAGCTGCCACAAAGGAACACAGACAAGGGGAGAGGAGACCCTGTGGGTGGCCAGGACCAGTCCTAGGAAGGGCTTTGAATGCTGGGACAAACATCTTGAGTCAAGGTCTACCTTCAGTGGGGACTAATGGAGATGTGGCATACCCAAGAGATACCTTCAGTCACCCATGGGGTGGACAGATGGGGTGGTGCCTTCTCAGAGGCCATTTAGATGCCCAGAGCCACTGTGAGACAGGACAGAGGAACAAATGATTTCTTTTCCATGTGGATATCAAGATCAGTAGGATGGACTGGCTCACAGCAGGGCATGCAGACTAAGAGCAAGCCCTTAACAACTTGAGGGTTGTTTCTGGTGGGATTTTCTTGTTGTGGTCATGCAGGATGGACTAACTGTTCTTGGGTGGTACCTGGCAGTTGGACTGGTAAGCGCAACAGTCCTGCACTGGGCAGGCATGCAGACCAGTTCTTGGGTTTGCTGTGGTGCTGACTGTCTCTCAGCGAGGATATTTGCTCTGAAATACTTCGCTGAACTAGCCCATTGCCAGGACTGAGGAAGCAGAGAAGACCTCACATGCGATTCTGGGGCTTTCCCTATACACCTGCTCCCAATGGCTTGTTACTCCATTTCCTCCCAGTTCTGCTTCCCAGGCCCCACAGCTGCTCCAGCAGCCAGAGCAGGGGTGGAAAACTCCAGAAGGGGCTGGGATTTCCCTAGCAAAGGTCCCAGCACAGGCGGGCAGCACAAGAGCAGGAGGGAGAGCAGATGCGCTCGGTGCCCCGAGGTTAGTCAGATGTTATCGGCAGAGGAGCGGGGTGGGGTGCGAGTACACCTTGCTCTCCAAGCTGAATTCATCTTCAGCTGCGACTCCTCCAGATCTGGGAGGGGAGAGCAGGAAAGCAGACTGCAAATCATTCCTGTTTCATAAGATTACCTTTGCAAGGAAAGCCAAACGCCAGCCTTTGAAGCTCTCCTTACACCAGGCAAAGCAACATTCACCATTTTACATGTACCACAGCTGTCAGCACACTCCATCCCCCCAGCTCTTGCCCTTCCACTGCCAGTTCCAGTCCTTGCCCCTCGGCTGGGACAGGAGGTGCTTCCTCCCCCAAGAAAGCAGCAGGAAGAATCAGGGAAGTGGGCAGGGATGGAGAGCCCCAGGAATTGTCCCCTCACGGGGGCTGCCCCCGTTGCATGCAGCACCAGAGGATTCCCCAGCCCTGGGACTGTGAAACAGCCCATCAGGGCACTGAACGTGACGGAGGAGCTCTCCTTTCTCCAGCCAAGCCAGCTTGGCTGCTGGTTGGGATTCCTCAAGCAGAGCTTGGCATCGTCTCTGGCAGTTCCTGAGCTGGTTTGTCTGGTGCGGCTGGTTCGGAGAACCGCTCTAATCCCCGTTTCTTCCCGCTTAGCTGGAAGAGGCCTTGGGGCTCTCCCTGCAGGAGGCCAGCACCACGTACTCGAGCTAGGTGCTAGTGGAAGTCAGGGCTTTTCCCCACACCCAACCCACTAGTATGCAAGACCTCATGTCGGGCCGTACATCTTTTGATGTCCTCTTGGCGCAGCCGAGAGTGCCAAGCAGTGCCCTTTTCAGCGCGGTGCTCAGACATCCGCTTACACGCTCCTGACAGCGCTCGGCTGGCCTGCACTGCCTTGCCATGCTGTGCCTCACCAGCACCCGCGCCTCGGCACCTGGCCAGCTGGCAGCCTGCAAGCCGGTCTCCTCCGAGACAGGCTACTGAGCAGAGCGGAGGAAAGTCAAACGCTGCTGAAGGGCTCGGGGGCTGGAGGAAGCATGTCCCTCCACAGCACGTGGGTCTTTTGCACCAAGGGCTTGCAGCGAGCCCAGCTCCCACAGGGAGAGGGGAGCAGCCAGGAGATTTTGGCAGCAACTAGCGCATGTTGGAAGAGTGTGAGAGACACACAACGAGGACCAGTTCCCAGAATCACATCATATCAAGGAAAAGGGCTCCCCATGATCAGTCTCCTGCTGCCTCCCTGGCTATCGTAGCCACACAGTCACTCCAAGCAGTGGCTTTTTGGTGGCCATGCAAATCAGATGGGATCTCATTGCCCAGCGGAGGAGCCAAAGGGACAGTGCCCTCCACGTGGCTGGAGAAGGAGGCTCATGGCACCCTCCACTCATGACTGGCCTGCCTCCCCCATCTGCAAGATACAAAACCTCCCTTGCCTTTCCCAAACCTCCTGTTCTCTCCTGCTAGGTTAGCACCTGGCTCCTGGCATGGATGCCAGCCGGCTGCTGCCCAAATCCAGGCTTGGAGACGCCGGGCACTGCTCAGCTGGGTTTGTTTGTTATCCTGCGCATTTGCATGGGGAGGATTTGGGGAAAACCCAGATGTACAACGCTGAGCAGAACAGGCGCTAATCCCCACTCCAGGGGTGGCAGAGGAGCGCCGTCTCCAAACCACTCCCGGCATAGCTCGGACAGCTTTAGCCTGCACAGACAGGAGAGGCTCCCAGGGGGATCCCTCCCTACTCCAGAGTTTGGGGTGAGCTTGCCACAGGGAGGGTGCTGCAGCCAAGGGTCCCCTGCTGCTGCTCGGGCCGAGTCAGGTCTGCTCGGTGGCAGTGGATGGGTTGTCATGGAAACGGCATCTGCTCGGCCTCAGCCCCCCGGGAGGCAGCCGGACCTCGGCAGCAGCCACCAGCTACCATTTATTTTTAATAGGGTTCAGTGGCACCAGATGCCTTTGTCTCCACGAGGGCCCCAGAGCAGCAGTGAGCACTCGGCTCCCTGCAACTCTCGGTCAAGAGGGGACAACCCACGCATCTCCTGGCTCAGGTCCCTGCGGCTCCAGCGAGCGGGTCCCTCTCATGGGGAGAGTAAACACAGTCAGATGAGCAAGTCTGAGTTTAGTCTGTACTGTTTTCACAGGCTGCTTCCACTGTCCCAGCACCTTTTGACTCGATAGGAGTTGGGAAGGGAGGATCAGGGGCAGGTCCAGGCTAGTGAGGGCAAGCCCTGCAGAGCATGGTCTGTCACACAGGCCCTTCACAGCTTCCTTCCCCCTCCCCAGGCTGGAGCAGAGTCCCCAGAACAGCATCGCTGCCTGGCTTAGCTGATGAATGCAGCTACCACGGGGGATGGAGCATCTCCCCTGGGAAGGAGGGGCACCTGAGGTCAGGCTCCTGCTGAGGGACTTGGTGGGATCCCAGGAGCACCCTGAGAGCAGTGGGTACAAGGCAGGAAAACAGCGCAGTGCTCTATGCTTTCCCCTGCTCACGACTGCTAGAGGAGCAGCAGGAATTGATATGGGACACAGGGGATGAGGTGCTGGGCAAAGGGGTCGGCTCCAAGGCAGGTCCCCAGTGCATTGGTATGGGGCTGCAGCCCCCAATGCTCTGGGGAATCAGCTGCTGCGCAAAGCCAGCCATAAGTGCCAGCCTGCTCCTCCAGCAGTGCCAGAGCGGTGTCAGTAGGGTTTCAAGCCTGTGCTTGTCCTCTGAGATGCCAGCAGCATCCTGCTCTAACAAGCGCCAAGGAGCTGGGCCAGCCTGCAGTGCCTCCTGACGCCGGCACTGCCACCAGAGATGGAGCCAGGCCACCAAGCCACCCTCACTCACGGAAGCAGTGGAACAGGACACCCTAGTAGCTTCATCCAAGCTCCCTTGTCCATGGAAGTGGCACACATGTCCCCCTTGCAGGACAGCACACATCTGGGATGTGGGGGGAACCCAGGAGTCCTGGTTCCCAGGCCCTGCTCCACCATGCAGCGCTGCCAAGGCACTAGTGTTGGCACCACAGCGGGACTCATCTCAAAGCTGCTGCATCGACTAGGGGAACCGGCCTTGCATGCGGAGCACATAGGAACCCTGAGCCTGTGCTCGCCTCCCCAGACAAGCACCGGCTTCACCGTGCCGGCAGCTCAGCATCCTCAGCTGCCCTCTGGGAATGCTGGCCAAGCGGCAGGCAGGGAGCGCAGCCGGCTCCATCCAACAGGAGACATGACGCCATCCCTTATCTCTCTGGGGGGAAGGGAGGGGGCAGATTGCATCCTCCAGGCTCAGGTGCACCAGTGCCGGTAAAAGCTAATTTCGATGCAGAAGGTTCCCTTTGCATTTGTCATTACTATTCATGCCACCATCAGGCTAAACACAGTGAGTTAACCCTTTGGAGGAGGACTGTGGTGGAGGTTTCAAGGAGGAGTAATAATGCAGGTTTCCTCCTGGAAGAGTGCTTCCTCTGGTGGTTCAGCCCTGGAGATGTTTGAGAGGGAGCTGGGGCAGGTTTTCTCCTGCCCAACAACACTCAGCTCTGAGCTGGGGCAGAGGGGCAGCACACCGGGGACAGGGTGGTCAGGCATGATGTGGATATGCCACCAGGAGACCCTCCAAGTGCTCCTGATGGCAGGACCTGACCATCAACAGGCACGTTACCCCACCTGCATCCTTTGCCACAAGCAGCAATCCTCACACACATCCAGGAACAGGTCTGCTCCCGGTGGGTGACATCACCAGTGCCCATGCCATGGAGGGTCCCACAGTCCTCACATGGGGACCCTGCCAGCCCATCCCAGGTTCAGCCCTTCCCTCCCCAGGCCCTGCACTGCTGCACCAGCTGACACCTTCTCCTCCCCTGTACAGTTCTCCAAGGAGAAATACATCCTCGACTCATCACCCGAGAAGCTTCACAAGGAGCTGGAAGAGGAGCTGAAGCTGAGCAGCACCGACCTGCGCAGCCATGCTTGGTACCACGGCCGCATCCCCCGGGAGGTGAGGAGGGGAAGGTGGGTGGCTCTGGGCACCCTTTTCTTGGGCTCCTCAGGGAGAGCACCCAAAGCCACACAGAACCACCAGCCTGTCCTGGGAAGCCTCTGGGCAAGGGCTTCATTAGCTCTGAGCTGCCTGGTTTTGTCACAGAAAACGCCCTCCTGCAGCTCAGAGCCAAAGGCAAGGGAAACAAGGCAATGCTGAAGGTAACACCCCCGTGGAGCATCCACCCAGGTCCCCTGGTCCATCCAGTGTGGCTGTGCCTGAGCTGCTGCCTTGTCCCCTGCCAGGTGTCAGAGAGCCTCGTGCAGAGAAACGGTGACTTCCTCATCCGTGACTCACTCACCAGCCTGGGTGACTATGTGCTGACATGCCGCTGGCGCAATGAGCCCCTCCACTTCAAGATCAACAAGGTGACGGTCAAGTCCAGCGAGGGCCATACCCGTGTCCAGTACCTCTTTGAGCAGGAGAGTTTTGACAATGTGCCCGCCCTCGTCCGCTTCTATGTGGGCAACCGCAAGGCCATCTCTGAGCAGAGCGGAGCCATCGTCTACTGCCCCATCAACCGCACCTTCCCCCTGCGCTACCTGGAAGCCAGCTACGGGCTGGCCAACGGGAAGCATGGGGGACCCCACAGCCCTGCCACCCAGAAAGGGGGGCACATCAAGAGGAGGAGCATCACCATGACGGACGGCCTGACAGCAGACAAGATCACCAGGGCTGAGGGGTGCCCGACCAGGTAAGCAGTCTCATCCCGGCTCAGCTGGTCAGAGGACCAGCCCCTGGGAAAGAGGCATGGCCACACTTGGTCCCTGCTCCCTGGGTGCAGGGCAGGGGTTTGGGCTTGGGGATGGAAACTGTCCCTGCTAAGGTGTGGAGAGAGACCAGCAAAGGAACAGGGGGAGGAACCAGCACCAAGCTGGAACTCAGGTTTTCTCTCAGGCTGGGTGCCAGCCACACTGAGCTACTGCAGCAGACACCCAGCAAGCAGACATGACTTTAACATTGCAGGCCAGAAGCCAGAGAGTGTTTTACGATCACCTAGTCCAGGATTACCAGCATGTCAGGGCTTGTCAGAGCTGAGGAGCCAAGCTTTCCCAGGCAGATGCACAGGGAGAGCCAGTACCAGCCACCAAGAAGGCATTTGATGATTTGTTTTTGAAGGGCACTTTTAGTTTTAGGGCCCTTTCTGTTCAGCTGGAGCATTTGCAAGGAGTTACCAAGCAGAGCTGAAAGCCTGATGGGCAGGAGACCAATGGAGCTGTGCTGATGGGGGTCTGCACAGCCCCCAGATCACAGCCTCTGTGTGGCTGATCTGCTCACATAAATCTTGGAGCAGTTGGGCTTCTCTGGAGGTGGAGAAAGAGACTTCCTTTGCACGGCTTGCTTTTGGTAGCCCTGAGCTGCCCAGAGCCTGGCAGGGAAGGCAGAGCCACACATACATCCTCACATGCAGCAGCTGATGGGGGACACATCTACTCCTGCCTCCCCAGGGGGACACAGCCTGTCATTGAACCAAGCTGCTTTCTCACCGCCTCAACCTTCTCAGCCAAAGGGCAGGGTGAGAAGTCACAGCAGAAAACAGGCAACCAACTGTTATGGCAGGGAAAAGGAAAACACTCAGACTTCCAGGAGAGCATATGTGTTTCCAGAAGAAGAGCCCAGGTCCATCAGTCTTTCCTGACCACTCACATTTTTCCCCAAACCCCTTATCACCACCACTGCTCTCCCATCCTCCTCCCACTGCAGAGGCACAGCACTCAAGACCAAATATATCACAGCAGCCCAGCCCTCACCTGTGGCCAGGAGGGCAGTGAATTACCTGCCATGCCTCCTTGCAACCCTACCTGCATTCAGCTCCCCCAGACACAGCATCTTTTACAATACCATTGACACACAGTGTTTGCATGAGGCCACAACTGCTGCCCCACCAGCCCAAGATCTCTTTGCTTACTATGCAGCTCACCGATCCCGGCATCTCACTGCATCCATTAGGCAACTGCTGGGCTCTGAGTCCAGCTTCCAGGCACTTTTCACCTCTCCTAAGCTTTAGGTCAGAGCAACAGCTCACCTAACCACCCCGACACAGCTCTCAAGTGGAAAAAGAGTAACACACCCAGCATTAGATACCACCTTGTAACCCTAGAAAACTGTCCCCTATGACTTCTTTGCCAAAGCCAGTTCCCCACAGCACCACTGAGCCAAGCCTCAGAACACCCCTCTCTCCTACTCCAAACAACCAAACTCCCCACAGGCAGGGCTGTCTCTGCTTTTATATAGGTACTGCCCTTTCTGCTCCCAGCTGCCTGCAGGGACTGCCAACTCATTGCTCCAGCTGAGCTTGTTACAGGTTCAGCTCGGTATGGTTATTTGTGGAAGGAGGCCATGACCCAAAGGGAGGTGATGGGGCAGCAAATCCTCATCCCAGCCCCTCTACCCTTGCCCAGGTCCTGTTTGCAGGGACTAACTTGCCCCATCTGCCCCCTCCCCAGCGTGTCCCTGCCCCACCACAGAGACATCATTCGCAACTGTGCCGTCAGCGTGGACCAGATCCAAGACCTGCACTCCCCAATGTCCCCCATCTCCGAGAACCCAGTGTCACCTGCCTACAGCACAGGTAAGCATCACCCCTCCATCCCGCTGGGGACAGTGGGGATGTGGGTCAGGCTGGGCTTGGCATGAGTGTGATGCAGGGACCTGGGGACGGGGATGGAGCTGGCTGTAAAGGCAAGCCCCTGCATCACTCTGCTAGCGAAACTCCATCCAGCTCTTTGCACAGCAAAGAAAACTGTCCTGATGGAGGGCTTGAGCTGAGGATGGGACCTGAGCCAGTCCTCAGCTGCATCATTGTGCAGCTGTCCTGGGACCAGCCTAGTCCCATCGGGCAGCAGGGCTTTCCCTGAGCTCCGTGTCCCTGGGCTGCTGCATCCGTGGTCCCTGTGCATGTGCGTGTCTCCAGGCTCTGATAACAGTGTCTTCTCTGCTCCCTACAGTTACACGGTTAAAGCCTCATGCCTGCCAAGCAGCCGGGATTGCCCCAGCCTCTCCTGTCATAAGAAGGTCCAGTGAGCCCCAGCTGTGCCCGGGGAACAACAGCAAACCTCTGCCAGACCCTGCCCACAGCACCCACTCAACTCCCTGCCACGGGTATGCCCGTGCCTCCCCCTCTCCCTCTGTGAACAGCTACAGCGACCCGGACTCGGGGCATTACTGCCAGCTCCACCCCACCTCACCCATCAGCAGAGACCGGCCAGCTCATGACACCAAGCAGCTGTCAACAAAGAGCTACATGGAGAGGCTAAAGGTGGAGGAAGGACAGAGAGGGACTGTGGAGAATGGCTCTGGGGAAGCAGAAGCAGGGCAGAGGCTGAAAGGAGAGCTGGACTTCATGGGCTTTGTGCCCCCCACCATGGAGACAACCTCCTCCTTCAACCCCGCGGCCTTCCAGTCCCTGCTTATCCCCATGGAGAACAAACCCCTGGAGATGGCCGTGCTCAAGAAGGTCAAAGAGCTGCTGGCAGAGGTGGATGTGAAGACACTGGCCAAACACATCACCAAAGTGGACTGCCTGGTACGGCCAGGGCCAGGCAGGAGGGATGGGCACTGCTGCCCTCTGATCACTCTGGGTTGGCAGGGGATTGGAGCACCCCTGAGCATTGGAGCATCCCTGCTGGGCTCTACCACGCTCTTTCAGCTGGGGCAGGCAGAGGCTGGGCTGGGGCAAGAGGCTGCCTGAGGACGCTTCAGCCTCTCCTCAATTAACAAAGGTCTAATCAGCTCTCACCTTTCTTACCAGGTTGCCCGGATATTGGGTGTGACGGTGGAGATGCAGCGGCTCATGGGGGTGAGCTCCGGCATGGAGCTGCTCACCCTGCCCCACGGCCACCAGCTCCGCCTTGACCTGCTGGAACGGTACGGCATGCCACAGCAGAGGCGAGCCCACCAGGCTCCCCTGCACGGCACAGCCCGGCTCCCCTGGGGTGTCCCCAGCTTGGCATGGGGTGGGGGGGTCCACTGCACCTCCCTGGTGGAGGAGCCCTGGCCAAGCCCCAGACTGATCCCCAGCCCTCCCCCCCCCACTGACCCTGCTCTGCGTCTTGCCCCGTGGCAGGTTTCACACTATGTCCATCATGATCGCCGTGGACATCCTGGGCTGCACGGGCAGCATGGAGGAGCGGGCAGCCCTGCTCCACAAAACCATCCAGCTGGCCGCCGAGCTGAAAAGTACCATGGGGAACATGTTCAGTTTTGCTGCTGTCATGAATGCTCTGGAAATGACACAGGTACAGGGATGCTCCCTTTGTCCTCCTGGCCTGGGCTCAGCCCCCTCGCCCAAAACACATCCCTCTCCCTGTGTCCTGCAGGATCCAACACCCGTTGGACCCGTTGGGGTGGGAGAAGGGCGAAAATGCCCAGGGTATGAGGCACAGGGCCACATCCGCTGGGATGTAAGCAGGAAAGGGGAAGAGCCATCCCCTCTGTGGAGCAGACAGCCCAGTCCCGCCGGGATCCAATTGTTTTTCGGTGGTTGGGCTTTTTGTTTTGTGCTGGGCTGTGTTCCTGGGAGGAAATGAATCTGCCCTCCGGTACAATACAAATCAGTCTCAAGGCTGTGGCAGCAGCGTCTCCGGGCCACACTGCTCCCTTTGGAAGATGAAAGGAGATTAAAATTCAATTTTAAATCAAGCCCAGCTGGGAAGTCTTGCTTCCTGCCTGCACAAAGGAGGTGGAACGGCTGCCCCCTCCCTGTGTCTCATCTTCAAGGCCACTGCAACGCAGGGAAGCTGCTGTCCTGGGGCATGGGGAGGGGGGAGAAATCCTGAACCCAGCCTCAGTGCCAGGGACATGCCGTCTCTGGCTGTGAGCATTGGTGGAGGAGGCTGTTTTGGGGAGCAGCAGGCACTGCTGTGTGCAAGGCCGGGGGCCAGGGCTCTGGCACCAGGCAGTGCGCCCCTGGGAGCATCATGTGAGCCTGGAGCTTGGTTCTCGGGGGCTGTGCTGCCCTCAGCACCCTCCATCTGCCCCATCTACTTTCAGATTGCCCGGCTGGAGCAGACCTGGATGGTGTTGCGGCAGCGGCACACAGAGGGCGCGATCCTGTACGAGAAGAAGCTCAAGCCATTCCTGAAAAGCCTGAACGAAGGGAAAGGTAACAGGAGCAACTCCCCTTCTCTGGCGTGCCTGCTCCTTCCTGCTTTGTCCAGGCATGGCCTTGCTGGAAGGGAGTGTGTTTGAGAGCTCTGACCCTCTGCCAGCCAGTGCCAGACGCTTCCCCTCTGGCTGCTGAACAGCCCCAGCACCCAAGGAAGCATTTCATAACTAAATAAAACCAGCAACCGGGCACAAACACAACTCAGCCGAGCCAAACCCTTGCGCTCACACGGCAGTGCGTGCCAAGCTGAGGGGACAGGGCGCCCAGTTGGGGAAGATGAAAAGCCATGTCTCTCCAACACCCAGCACTCTGGGCTCTGCAAACCTGCTCCCCATCGCAGCCCTGGGAAACGCAAATGCAGCCCAAGCAGGGTCAGCAGTGTTCCCCTCCCAGCACAACCAGAAAGCTGGGCTGGGAGGAGCTGGTGTTGAACGAGGCGATGGCCCCCGGCACAGCAATCGCAGAGCCACAGCCGCTGCTGTGCTACAGCTGAGCCTTAAAGCCTCTCCCAGAAGTACGGTGGCAGTGCGGCTTCACGGGGCTGTGTGGCCATGCCAGTGGTCCTTGGGGCCAGGGCAGATGGGGAGGGGGATGCAGGGGCACAGGGCTGCATGGGGTCTTCAGGGTGTCTCTCTCCGCAGAAGGGCCACCGCTGACCAACACCACCTTTCCCCACATCATGCCCCTTGTGACTCTCCTGGAGCGGGATGAGGCTCTCACGGACAGTCCCGAGCCTTGGGAGACCACAGACAATGGCGTGGAGGTGGTCATGGCCCACCTGGAGGCAGCACGGATGGTGGCCCACCATGGCGGGCTCTACCACACCAATGCTGAGGTGAAGCTGCAGGGTAAGCGATGGGGATGGTAGAGCCCCTTTCCCTCCCCAGTGTGCAGCTCCAGCCCAGCACCAGACAGAGCATCCCACGGGCGCAGGGTCCCCATCCTGTCCCAGGAAATTGACTCTCCCTCTCTCCAGGTTTCCAGGGCAGAGCAGAGCTGCTGGAGGTCTTCAGCACTGAGTTCCAGCTGCGGCTGCTGTGGGGCAGCCGTGGGGCCGAGAGCAGCCAGGCCGAGCGCTATGAGAAGTTTGACAAGGTCCTCACCGCCCTGTCCCACAAGCTGGAGCCAGCGGTGCGCTTCAGCGAGCTGTAACCCCCCCAGGTGCTGGGAGACCCCCCAGCTCCCAGCCTGCCACCCCCCCACCCCCGGCGGCTGTGGGGTAAGGGATGGGGCCAGGCACCCGTCACCAGGAAGAGAAGATATGGCCCAGAAAGGCGCTGGGGCACGGATCAGCAATTTTGAGACAAAGAGGAGGAAAAACATCCACTTCCCATCTACTATTCACCTCCCTGGGACATGACAGGCCCGGGGTCTGCAGCGCCGGTCGAGGAATGGGGACGGTGTCTGGGCAGGCCAGCACCGGTGTCCGCCATCCAGCCCCACTGAGGTCCATGACTACACAGTGCCCCTCACCTTGCCCCTCAGTTTTGTTTCTTTTCCATCTCCGTCTTGCCCACGGCTGCCGGATCCTGCTTGTAAATACATTTTCACAATCACTCCTCGATGTACAGACTTGTGAAGGACGGTTCTTGTTGTAAATAATTAGGCTCATTCATTTCGTCTTGTAAATACGTGTACATATCTCATGGGTTTGGTTCTTACATACAATAAACTTTTATGCTGTTCCTCAAGGGGATCCCCTCTCCCGTGGGTGTCATTTAAACGGGGCCCCGGCCCCCCCGGGAGAGCAGAGCCCGGGCAAGGGCTGGTGAGGGGGACCACCGTGCTGACCCCAGCCCTGCCGGGCCCCCGGACCGCCGCGGTGGCCCAGCGACAGCCCTTCGCTGGAAGGGCTGTGTGGCTGCCCTGACCCCCCCCCCCCCAGGGGGGGAAACCGGGGCCC